AGGAAAGAAGTTGTGTGAGTGCTCGAAACGTCATCAGTTAATTTAACTGTACAACACTGTGTGATTTATCAAAATAAAATCTTATCCATTATGGAGTTATACTCGACCACAGTGCCTAAGTTTTATACTTATATCAATAATACTGGACAGCTGTTTCGACCTAGTTTGGGTGCGTACTGCCAATGATTCCCAAACTAGGATGAAACAGCAGCTGTCCAGTACTCCCTAGTTTTCAATGGTTCTCTAACTGATATCAATTCGTGATCAACTCGTAAACTGTTTATGAGAAGAAAACTTTGAGACCTTTGTGTGCATACAATGTAAACTATTTATAACTTATCATATAAATATTCAGATTGGAAGGATTTCAAGACGAGAGTTTCTATTTGTGAATGTTTCAACATAATGCTTCAAAAGGATTACTTTTGTAACTTGCGAGTACTTTCACTTAACCTGTAGTGAAACCTAGTTTGATCACAGTGTAGATTTTGTCGGCAACCGACATAATCCAGTCAAGGGTTATTCACCAATACGTCATATCATTCGGTGGATACTGACTAGCTGAGGAATCTAAGTCGCAAATTTCGTCCTATTAGAAACTCGTCCATGGGAACAGCATCACTTACTGTGAATGCAGGTACATCTAGTTACCTGACAAGTTCTATTCATTGTAGGGTACAGATTGTCAGGTCAAGTACTTAAGTCAGACTAGTAGGACGGAGTCGGTCAGACTAGTGAAGCTAAACCTAGTTTATCTGACCCTGAAAAAATAAGAAATCTAGAGAACAGTTCAAGTATAGCACTACACCGCATTCAATTACACACAAGCATACAATAGGATGATGGGATAAGACGACAGTTTTAAAATCCAACTGATATAGTAGGATATAGGGAGAGATTGATAACGAAAGCTTTATTCATCGAATCAAGTGAAAATACGTGATAGGAATGATTCAACACCTGTCCATGAGAACATCTGGAAAATTCTACTGCCCCTACTACGACAAAAAGGCGGGAATACAGAAAACTGTAAAACGACAGTTTCGAGATTGTGTGTGGTTATACTTGATTGGTATGATTATGAACAATGATGAATTGTGTTCGAAACTTTGTTATCCAGTAAAGAGCAATACTGTTTCACTCTGTGTGTGATATATATCTAATAAACAGATCAATATGGAATTATGCACACCAGATTACAGAGAAGAAATATTTTGCACTAGCACTGAGTATCTTTTGATACCTCCCACTTTATGGACGACACAATCTTCATGACTCAAAACACTCTTGTAAAAACAATTAGAGTAAAAATGACAAAAAATCTTGTGAAATCAAGACTCAATAACTCCTACACTATTATTTATATTTTGCTTTTTTATAACCAATTAGTCTTGTCGCCATTAATCCAGGGCCTATGAATGAATATGAATAAACATTTGACAGTAAAATCGTTTGAAGAGCTTTCGTTTCAAAATCTAGGTAAGTTCGTACGTTGTCACTCGTTTGAGTTAATGCCAACCCCTCTTTCTTACTTCTGAATACTTTCAAAATGTTCAGGCAAAATTTAATGAATCCGCCGCAAACATGTGCGTGAAATGGTAGTGATTCTTTCTGACCATAGAAAAAATGGATTACCGGAGATATACGAAACTTGAACAATTCTCTTGTCCAACTTTGGGGGTGTGGCTGGTTCCCCTTATTACCATGCTACTCATTGGCTAGTCTAGTCACTGGAACTATTAGAAAGGAAGTGTCTAAGTTTTCCAAACAGGGCACATTTCGATCTACTGAGAATATTGAATATCTTAATGCCTCATATGAAGTCATCTTTCCATTAGGTGGGATACGATTACGCTTCTAAAGGAAAATATTCACTATATCGATGTACATAGCTTATATGTAAGTTCAGAAAACGCCATAAGTAACTGTCCAGCTTTGTTACCCCCAAGGGAGCAGTAGGAAAATAACAATAATACTATTCTCGAGTAAGCTGTCACTGCGTGTGATATATCCATCTAATAAACAAATTAATATGGAATTACTTGTGTTCTAGATTTCACGCATTACCCAAACGTTTCATTTATTCGATTAAAAGTTCCACTGCTTACTGTCATCCCAAATTCTTTAGAAGAAGTCGACACACTGAACAGCTGTCTCCTCCTAGCTTGGAACTCTTCACAAGCACGAATTCATATGTCATCAGGTTTCAGTCCAATGTTTGAATAAAAAAAATCATCATCTGAAGGTTCTGGATTGTATCTTTGGTGATATTATGAGGAAATGCTGATGAAGAGTGGAAAACTACGATGGAGAGAAATGCCTAAGGCTTTTCAACCTTCAATGACTCTGTAAACAATGCTGATTCATACTGAAATGTACATTGAAACTAGTCAAGATTTCAACAAGCTCCAAAAGTATGGAATCAGTTTTAATCTGACCTGTATTTATTAATAATGGTATATTCATTCATGTGAGATTTTAGCGCAATAAAAGAATGATTACTAACCACGCGAATGGTTAAGGTTCGATTCCCGACCGATTAACTCCTAAACCTCGGTTAGCCTGTAGTAAATCCGGTAAAAACAGAAGGTTGGTACTAAGGGTATCAATTCCCCCCTACCCAGTTTCGTATAAAACAACACCATGACTACTGCAACTTCAAACCTCAAGCTTGAAACCTATGTTCTAGTAGAAACCCAAAGTAAAGAAGAACATTCAGTTCATAATAATAGATTAGATAATTCATTAAAATGGCAAAAAATTATTATTTAAATTCTTTGTGCGTTAAACTGTAACAGCTAATTAAGTCATTTCAACTTTGAAATTTATAGGGATTACAACTTTCAACTAATAAAAAGTTCCCATTAAAATTTTTTTCAAAAGAATGGTTACTGAAGAGGGAATGTTCTCTTCGATAACCTGCTCTTCATCAGCTTCTACAGTCACATATCCATCCATAATAGTGAATTAGTGAATTAGTGTTATTAACAACAACATTAATGTTGCTTAAATAACATTAAATCAATAATTAATAATAATAATAACAATATCAATGGATTGCAGTTCAACAGCGTCAACATAACAATACACACTGAATATCAGACAGAGGAATTAAGAAAGATAATAATACAAATTCATGAATTTATAGTCTCCAATGAAGACTGGTTAGGGCAGTATTAGTGGCTGGCTAAGGTAACTTCTTTTGCACACAAAGCATTGATTGTTTCATGCGAATCGCGATAGCCTCTGCTGTTTGGAGGATGCGATACCTCGATGTTTATTGGCAATTTATTTACTACCCGAAAGATGAAATAGAAGGATTCTTCAATGCTGGCTAGCTCTGTGGCTGGTTTGAAAAAAGTGTTTTAATATCGAACTTTTGATGGTTTTTACTGCATCTTTATTTAGCCAAACTGGTAGATGTTCCCGAGCACAAAAAATCAAGTTCCTAGAGCAACGACCAATATAACTCTCTCTACAAGCTCAGTTGAATTGGTGGATACAAGAAGAGGTAGCTAGTCTAGGCACTTCATCTTTCAGTCGAGGAATCACCATCGGTCGTATAGAAAAAAAGACGTAGTTTACCAGCATTTTCTTAACTTCTTCTTAATAGTTTCGCTGGGTATACTGCCCTTGAATTGCAGTCATATGTATAAAGGATTTTTGTTTACAGATAGCGATTAGTCCTTTTCAACTTTCTTAGTCATATGCTTCCTGATGAATTTGTCTGGATAGCTATTTTCAATCGAGGTATCATATACAGTCCCCAGTTCATATTCACTTGCTTCTTCTGAGGATATAGCTCTAACCCTGTGGCTGAGAATCCTTACTAAATTTCTTTTGTACTGGGGAGGAACGAAACTATGAATATGTGTATATTGTCCTGTCCAGGCGCCTTTCCTAAGCAAATTTCTCTTCATACTACCATCTAGTTTTCTTGTAAGGAGGACACCCAGGAAGGCAATTCTATTTTGGGATTCCTCTTCGCACATGGATTTCATAGCAGAATGTACTTCATTGAATTCGGTTATTATTGTTTTCCTATCCGAATCACCGTCACAAAAAATAAAAGTGCCATCCATATACCGGTAATAAATTGGGAACTTTCTGATAAGGTTGTTCACGAGTCCATTTTCTGGTCTACTAAAAAAGAAATCCGCCAAAATGCGACCTAATGGGGAGCACATTGCCACCCCGCTCACTTGTCGGTAAAGTGTGCCGTATAATTTGAAATTTACATTCATGGTACACCTCAATAACGATTCTTTTAGGATTCCCGTTGGGATACCAAAATTTATCGACTGTTTATACACTTGTTCACATATGCAGTTAACTGTTTCTACTAGAGGTACATTTGTGAATAAAGATGTTATGTCCAGAGATATCATAGTTTTATCCTTGACATTAATATCTTTGATTTTGTCTTTGAATTCGAATACACCTTTGACGGGCTGTGTTTCACTATCTGCTCATGCAGTTTAGCTAAGTAAAGATGTGGTTTAAACCACTATCAGCAATTCGATATTAAACCATCTCGTCCAAACCGACCACAGAGATAGCTAGCATTGAAGAATCCTCCCCTATCATCTACTGGGTAGCAAATAAATTGCCAAGAAACATCAAGGTACCACATACTCCAAACAGCAGAGGGGCTATAGCGATTGGCGTGAAACAACCAGTGATTTGTGTGCAAAAGAAGCAAATTTAGCCAGCCACCACTACTCCCCTAGCCGGCCTACAGTGGAGACTATAAATTGATGAATTTGTACCATTATCTTGCGTAATTCCTCTGTCTGACATTAAGTGTGTATTGTTATGTTGATGCTATTTAACTGTAGTCCATTGGTATGATTATTGATTTGATGTTATTTAAACAACATTAATGTTGTTAATAACACTTATTCATTCAGTATTATGGATGGATATATAACTGTAGAACGTGATGAAGAGCAGGTTATCGAAAATATGAATATTCTTTGTTCAGTAATCAATCTTTTGAATTAAACTTTCACCACAATACCTTTTGCTGTTGTACTTGGACCAGACCACAATTGTATATTTGAATGATTCTCAACAGATCCATTCGGTATAATTTTTGATTTTGTGTATGTTTTAGAACGTATGCATGAGGCATCTTCTTTTGTTGATTGATTTTCTGTTGAAATCTTGTCAATTGATAAAATAGAAGAATTTGATCTACTTATACTCGGTGTAATATTGTTCAATGTTAAATGATCAATTTTTGGTGACCTTGAAGTATAATAAATAAAAAAATGCTGTGATGATTAATATAAATGAGTTCTATTTCAAATATACTGTATTCTAAAAGGATTCAAATTATAGGAGTGCAGCTTTCAATTCAAGGGACCAACAGTCGTTGTTATTACATAGAGTCATTATGTATTGCTCATTTCTAGCATCATGATTTGAAGGTATGGCTTAAGCTGAATATTTTCGTTGAATTTAGTCCCCTGGAAGCATCTTCAACTGACTTTGATATAAGGATAAAACTTGGGCATTGTAGTAGAGTATAATTCTGTTATTCACCAATATTTATTGATTACCACGTTTCGAGCACAATTAATTCCTGCTCATAATCACATCAAGGTACTCACATAACATTCTGGCTGCATTTACATACATGAGTAAAAACTGATTAGATATTTGAATAAAATCAATATAAGATAAAGTACATTCGGAAATAATATTAGCATCATCAATCAGGTACACTCAGATGGAAAGTAAGATGTTTTTTACAGTTAAAATAAGTAACATGTTAGAATGTTATAATGAGGATTGACTACATTTTAAAAGTATTTATTATCCTCTGATTTAACTGGTAATAATATCTTCCATATGTCTGGTACTTGTGTTGAGTCACTTCTATTGCATGTGTTGTGTTGGGTGTAGACTCAATGAATCAGGATTCAGTAATCAATCTCTCTCGCTCTCCACCTACATAGATTACTTTTTAGACTTTTGACTCTACCCACCCACCCTATTGTGTGGTTGCGTGTTAAGGCATACAGCGCGATTGCTGAATTTTTTCCAAATTACTTATCTTCGTGGGTTATTGATATAAGTATAAAACTTGGGCACTGTGGTAGAGTATAACTCCATTATAGATAAGATTTTATTTTGATAAATCATACAGTGTTGTACAGTAGTAATATTAACTGGTCACCACGTTTCGAGCACAAACTATTGCTCATAATCACATCAAGTTGATATGTTGTAACCATTTCTACCTTTTAATTGTGTATATGTATTAATTTTCTTCGTTAATTATCACTACCTTAACATGTTGACACTGACTAATTATTGTTAACAAACATATCAGTGCCACTTGATAGGTAAACTGTTGTGTATTGTATTAAAAATGCTGTGCGTGTATATTAGAGTAGAGCCAGAGTAAGATGAAGATCTAATTGAAAAGTAAATATTTCTTCGCTCAGTCCTTTTTATTTATTATTTTTTACGGGGTGGGGTTGCTAGGCTCATACCCAACCTTCCTTCTTTATCAGTCTTATTACTGGTTTAGCGAGATAGAAAAGTGCGTCGGTCGGGGATCGGACCCTGAACAACATGAGGGGTGGCTGGCGAGCATTCTACCACTGTACCACAGACACATACTCAATCGTTTTACTTTTAAATAAAATCTCCTGAGGTATTTACTGTCAGCTAAGGAAACTTCCATTTTTTGCTCACATCATTTATACAAAGCAATAAGCAGACGTAATTTGTCTGCATGAATCGAGTAATGTTGTATTTGCGCAACACATTTGGAACAATGTTATCACACACTGACTTGTCACAGGAATATATATGAAATTAATAAAGAGTTAAGAGGTGAAAAAAAGACAAGTTAGGTCAAGTTAAAAGGATGTAATGAAGGTCAAAATAACAATGAAAACCACTAAACCAAATAGCAGAGGTAACAGTACATCTGCTACGGTATCAAAACAAAATTTACCAAGGATGGTGCAGGGTGATGACGAATTGTTGCTTTGAACTCATAAAGGTGGTTTAAACTTTCTAATTGCCAGCTATGGCTTCCACAAACTTTAGGATACGCCCTCCTCCAAACACATTTTATGGATGGATAGGTTTAAAAGATGTGTTAACGTCAATTTTATGTCCTGTCTCTATAACATGTTTCGCAATAGAAGAGCAAGGTTACCTGTTCTCACCGTTAATAGGTTCTGAAGATTCCATTTGTTTCTGGAGACATTTAGGAGTATGCTCTGAAGTCAGCCCTTACTTGCAGAGATCGATGAGTCCTCCCTATGTATATGTGTCCACACGTACATTCAAATACCTAAATACATTGGGATGTGACATCATTTTCCGCATGTTCAAAGGGCTTAGATGAATGGATATATTGGCTTCACATTCTCAATTATTATGACAATAATTGCATAAAAGTCTTTTTAATCACAGCGTCCAGTCTTTCTCTAGTTATCGTAAAAACAATTTTTGAAAAAGATTTCGATTTATTTTTCAATAAATTAAAACAAAAGGCTAATCGTTCAATATATTTACATATTCAATATTCAATGGTTATTTACTTACAATAATTCCGTGTCTTCTTGTTTTATTGATTGTGTCGTATGAATATTCGCGTCATGTTTTTCATTCATAACTAATAAGGCATTACGTAACCGTTTAGTTTGTTCCGTCAATAAAGTAATACGGAGTTCATTGGCGTGAATTTGTCCTTCTAATTCTTCATGAACAGATTTTACACCTAATTATAGAGAGTGAAAACAGGATTTTGCATAGCTAGTGCTAAAAACATTACTGTAAGTAATAATAATAATAATAATAATGGTCCCTCTATTCCAATTAATAATTTTTCCTACAGAATGGAATTTTCATTATTGAACATATTGAAACAATTTGGCTTCTCTTACAAATAGAAAGATAAATACGTAAAATAGTAAAAAATAATTAAACTGAAGCAACTGAAACCAATGAGTAAGACAAGGCTGCCTACCTGTTATCACCCACGATGATATTCTTAATTGTGGTGGACGGGATTAGAGGAAGACAGTGTATGAGGAGTGAGAAGTCAGGAATGCTCTGGACTGACCAATAGGAAGACTTTAGAATATCTGGATTTTGTGCGTGGATCATTTTTGTTTTATATCACACAGACTGGAAGAATTGCAGGAGAGTACCACCAAGCTAGCGGAAGAAACTGGCAGGCAGCGAAGACAAGGCTCCATGTAAACATAGAGAAGACTGGGTGATGAAGATAACCAACCAATCAACTACGCACCAACAACAACAACAACCAGCCCCAATCACCATTAACGTGAGACATTTGACAGAGGTTTCTTCCTTAACTTATTTGGCCAGGAAGCACAGTGTCAGCCGCAGACAGTCGGACAGCACGGATAAAGATGTCAACAACAAAAACAGAATCGGAAAGGCAGTATACATCTTCACCGAACTGAAATCAGTTCGGAAATCTTCTTCACTCCGCTTCAGCATAAAGAACAAGATTCAGATTTTCAGCACAAATTTGAAGTCAGTCATTAAGTTCTTCTAAAAAGACTTCTAACAAGTTACAGATTTTTATCAGCAGGTGCCACCTTCGCTGACTGGCTCCATACTGAAGATCAAATGGTCCACTGGTCGGCCAGAAAGAATTAGTAACAAGAAACTCTGGCCGGCAAAAAACCAACTGAGCAAGAGCTGATTGCTCAACAAATATGTAGGAGAAAATGGAGATGGGTTGAATGGGCATACGTTGAGGGGGCCGTTGAATGGCATCGCGCGGAATACAGGTCATCGCTCGAGTGGAATCCCAGTGGGAAGTGACAAGTGGGTCGTCATTTTGAGGGTGACATGGAGGAGGTCATGTGAAGAGGATGAGGAGATGAGAGATTATGGGCAATCGTGGACTCAGCTGAAGAGTAAAGTAGGAAATAGATGCATTGTTGAAGCCTTATGTTTCACTTGGAACTCAAGGGAATAATAATAATAATTACATTCTTTACTATGTGGAATTAAATAAATAATAATTGTACCCATGTAAACTAATGTATATAAATGTGATTGTACAGCTTTTGAGAATTCAATCACCGAAAAGGTATCTTTGCTGAACTTCTGGTTCTTTTCCCTCTAATGTCCCAATGGGTATTTTCCACGATACAGACATAACTAGCGGGTTTTCATAACTTTTAAATGTAAGGGACATATTTCACGTCTCTGGAGTAGGATAGGAAGCGTAACTGAGTAGTATAGTACGTAATACACAATCGGATGTTTCATTCACATTATAAGTGGAAAAGTATAGCAAAAGATATAAAAGTATCTTCTTGAAGCTCCTTTGAAGTATCATCCAGTTTTGTTTTGTTTATTTGGACGTTTTAAATCGAATAAGTTAGTTAAACAATGGTAAGGAGAGACACTTTAATTTTCCTGACAGTCAGAAATTAAAATAGAATTGTCGAATACCTTCAAATTTTACTTTTTGAACTTTCGATTGATTAATTATGACGGACCAAAATTCTGGATCTTAATTTACATGTCGACTTCTACCTAGTATAAACGCCTCAAAAAGAAGCGAAGGTTAACATGGCATCATTCCGATTGATAGCGGCTAAAAATGGAATCCAGGATGCGCGTTCCCTCCTATTTCGGAACTCATCATCCGGTCAGGCGGCCGAATGAAAAACGCTCTGGTTTTTGAAACGATGGGCGGGGGATTTGAGTCTCGGGTATGTCTGGCTAACGGGTCCCAAAGTGCTGTGAAACACAGCCTCTTGATTCCAGTTGGGACGAGGACATAAGTCACTAGTAATCGAATTCATCGCGCCTTCGTCTCAGTATACTTGTATGGTTAGGACGAAGGCGGTCACTTATGACTTGAATTTCATCAGATAGCTGGTTTTGTATTACGCGCCCACAGGAATGGTATAATTATGTCAGATGTTACGTTTGACTGTTTTAAAAGTGTTATATCAACTTTTTTTAAAACAGCCTGAATATTTGTCCTGATGTTTGCTACACTAGGCACAGAAACACGTCGTGTTAGTTTTTATCCTCATCCTTACAGTACTAACTGAAATCATCCAAAAGAAACTATTAAATGTTTCTTCAAGAAAGCATACTTATTCAAACTACCAAAGAAAGGAGACTTAATTCAATGCAAGAACTGGTGTGGAATTATGCTCCTGTCCATCCCAAGCAAAATACTAAGCCGCATCATCCTGGAGAGAATCAAACACGCCCTGGATGAAAAACTTCGACCGGAACAGGCTGGATTCAGGAGAAACAAATCATGCATTGATCAGATCGCCACATTACGGATCATCACTGAACGAAGCCTGGAATGGCAGTCACCTCTCTATCTCAACTTCATCGACTTTGAAAAGGCCTTCAACAGCGTCGATCGAGAGGTGATTTGGAAACTACTTCGCTACCACCAAGGGGTGCCACCGACAATAATACATCTCATCCAACAGCTGTACGACAATGCTGCATGCCAAGTAATCCACAACGGGAAACTTACAGAATCGTTTGAAGTGAGGACAGGAGTAAGACAAGCCGGCTGCCTACTATCTCCAATGATTTTCCTGATTGCAGTAGACTGGATAATGCGACAGACAGCGGCAGACAATGAGGAAACAGGCACAAAATGGACTCACACAAAAAACTTAAAGGATCTTGACTTCGCCGATGATATATGTCTGATTTCCCACAAACTGGAAGATATGCAAGTGATGAAAAGCAACAAGTTGGTAGAAGAAGCATCAAAGATAGGACTTCAGGTGAACATAGAGAAAACAGAGGTGATGAAGATTCCTGGGCAACACCACCAGCAACAACAACAACAGACAACAATCAACATAAATGGGAGGAACCTGAAAGAAACAACATCCTTTACCTACCTGGGAAGCGTCGTTTCAACTAAAGGTAGACGGAACTGATGAAGAATACAAAGCAAGAATCAGAAAAGCAAGAGAAGCTTTCACTACTCTCAAGTCTGTGTGGAGGTCAACAGCACTCAGCATCAAAAATAAGATCCGGATTTTCAACTCCAATGTGAAGTCAGTGCTACTCACTATACGGATCAGAGACTTGCACTGCGCGTCATAAAGAGCATCTCAAACAGACTGCAGACCTTCATTAACAGTTGTCTTCGCTCAATACTCAAGATCAGATGGCCGGCCAGAAAAGATCAGCAACAGAGATCTCTGGGAGCGAACCAACCAGGAACCGATTGTGAAACAAATAGGCAGGAAGAAGTGGAGATGGATTGGCCATATTCTGAGGAAACCATCAAGTGACATCACAAGACACGCCATCTCTCTAGTGGAACCCAGCCGAAAGGGAAGCGGCGAGTTGGTCGTCAGTGCGAGGGTGACTTGGAGGAGGTCATGTGAAGAGGAGATGAAAACGTGTGGGCAGACATGGAGCCAGGTGAAAACTCTAGCAGAGAATCGAACGCAATGGAGACGCACGGCTGAAGCCCTATGTTCCTCTAGGAATTAAAGGATGCAATAATAATAATGGTGCGTCGGTGGCATAGCGGTTAGGACGCTTGCCGACCATGCACATGGTCCGTGGTTCGATCCCCGGCCGACGCACTCCTTTACCTCGCTAGGCCAGAATTAATGCTGGTGAAGAGTAAAGGTTGTGCATGAAGCTAGCAACCCCATCCTGTAAAATAAAAATAAAAAAACTGCTAAAGAAACTTCAAGCTGGCTCTAGCTTGAAGCCCTATGTTCCACTGAGGAACGTGAAGGTAAAAAAATAATAATATTAAATGTATCTTCAACAATGAATTAGTGACACTTGCTGAAGACTTAACGAAGAGATGCAAGTATGACTCTTGATTTTAAATTAAGCGCTGATGGATTATTGATCAATTAAAACAAATTGTAGTGACAGCGAATTTCTTCAACACATTATTGTTATTATTATTTCCTTTAATTCCTAGAGGAACATAGGGCTTCATCCGTGCGTCTCTTCAACACATCGTAACCTCTAACTGTTGGTTCAAAAATATTGATTTCCTATGTACTAAATCTTCAATATTTTGAATTCACACTTATTTCTGTAAATTTTTGGTTGCACATATAAAAAATGATTACATCATTGCATTTTAAACTTACAATTTTCATTTTCAAACACAATTGGTCCATTTAAATCAGGATATTGAGCCATATGTAAAAGATCTTCATTCAATTTATTCAACTTTTGACATAATTCATTATTTTCCAACTTCACTTGTTCAAGATTCATTTGAATTTGACTTTTAACGCTCTCATTTTCAGTTGATTTGTTCTTTAATATATTCAAATATAAAATGATGATATAAACGAAAATAGATAACTTACCTTGATCTCTTGTATTGATTTCTCCAACTCTTGTATTTTACTTTTATAATTATTTATCTCAGAGTTCAGATGTTCCATCGAATTATTCTTATCTTTCAGTTGTTCTTCTAATTTTTCATTGATCTCAGTTAGTTCATTTATTCGGGATAAAAGTTTTTCATGTTTCTTAGTAAGCATCTACGATAACAAAATTAAGAATTAGATGTATGCTACTCAATACTTATTAAGTAGTATGAAATATTCTAGTGAAATATTAAAATTTTTGGTGCATATCATTCAGTGAAATAAAAATACAGGACTGAAGGAGCCAGTACCACTCTGTATCGAGTTAGACTACAAAATTACTTCAATTAGGGAGGTACTGTAAATTATTAATCAGTACTGAACAAACAGTTTTTTGTCCTATTTCAGGTCTCTTCAGCACTACTGAAGCATGTTCCTACAAATGATCGAATCAACAAGCTTCAGTTTACGAAGGACGCCCGTTGGACATTCACCTACTGGGATGGGATACAATTTATCTATTACAATTGTTCCCTTGGGTTCCAGGTGAGACATAGAGCTTCAGAAACACACCTCCACTTTGCTATATTTTCTGTTGTTCTCTTCACCTAGATCCACAAGCACCCATAATCTTTCATCAACTTCTCACACAATCTCCTCCATGTCACCCTTGGATGACCCACTAGTCGTTTCCCATTCAAATTACACTCAAACAGTGGCCTAGTGTGTGATGTTGCTCAACAGTCTTGCCAGCATGTGCCTAATTCAGCTCCATTTTTTGGCATACTTGCTGAGCAATGGATTGTTAGTCGGTTTGTTTTCATAGACTTATGTTGTTGATTCTTTCTGGCCAGCCAGCCATTTGATCTTCAGTACGGAGCCAGCCAGTGAAGGAGGCAGCTGTTGATAAAAGTTTGCTGTGACCCGTTGGAAATGCTTTTCGTGACACGCGCTGCAAATTTCAGACCCATATAGAAGAAGTGACTGACTGAGGGACTGACTTGACATTTGTGTTGAATAGAATCCGAATCTTGTTGTTTATGCTGGCTGGCTGAGTGAGTGCAGAGGAACTCAAAACTGGTTTCAGAGTGATGAAGCCGTATCTCGCTTTTCCAATTCTGGCCGGCTGGCTGGCTGTGTTTGACATCTTCAACTGTTCTTCTGGCCTGTGGTTGAAACCGTGCTTCGCAACCAGATAAGTGAAGGAAGTAACTTCTGTGAAATTTTTCCCGTGCTGGCTGGTTGTTGCTATTGTTGTTGCTGTTGGTGAGTGGATAGTTTTCCTTAGCACCTCTCTCTTCGCTATGTTCACCTGCAGTCCTATCTTCACCGCTTCTTCAGCTAGTTTGCTGAGACGAGATACAATAGTCTATGAGTTCCAACATCTGCAGACTAGCGATTTACAACACAACCTCTAGCCACTATTATTATATTCACACCCAACTTGATGGGCTCCACTGTTCATTACTTCTCAGTCACATCAGTTATTGGAGAGGGAAAGATTAATTCTCAATGGTTGGTTTGCATGGGTCTGATTGATTATGAGGACCAGTGACGTTCACATATACCCCTTGAATACGTTAGAGAAAAGTAATTTATATTTCATTCTGACATTCTAGTTACAAAGTTAATCATTGAAAATCATTAGATTTAGGGTGAATGGCATTTGATAAAATCAATGAAGAGGAGTGACAACTATTCAACAACTATAGAATCAGATGATGGCATGCAGATGGCTTAACTGATTCAAACAAACTGACTTAGTTAATCAACAAATCAATGTGTGGAATATTGACAGAAGTAATTTTGTTCCTGGTAATTTCGACAACTATGAGCAAGGCGTTTATTGGAATAGTGTACAGATCAAGTATAGAAGATATACAATGAATGTCAAGCTAATTTCAGAAACTTAATACTGAGGTTGCCCAGAAATAAACAGATTGTAAGCAATCCAGTTGATCAACCAATAAAAATCACAAAAATGAGAATTAATTCAAATTTCAAGTTAACAGGATGACCGTTAAGAATATATGGCATATAGAATAACTAATTCTCTGTGGTCTAATCGTAGAATTCTCGCAAACGACGCACGTGGTAGGTTGATGTACTTCTAAACCTTGCTAAAGCTGGTAGAAAGCAAGGTAAAGAGGGAAGGCTGGGCGATGAAAAAGATAACCTTTTGACTGAATTATCAACACGGAATACAGCAGAGAAATGATACACTTTAGAGAAGCACACATAAAATTAGCGAAAGATATGTGGTGAAACAACAGAGAAGATGAGTGGCTGAAGGATAAAGCGAGTTTTGAAAGTCTGGAAAATATGAATTAGAAAGAGCATCTTTGCCACACCACTAAGATTTTTCCAGACATTGATTCTCAGCAACTCGATAACGCAGTCTACAGCAAACTGACAGTTGATGACTTCCGACTATCCGCTTCTCTTTTTCATTCTAATATAATAACAGCTAATATTGTTTCGCTGAGGAGGGTCGTGATATGGCATCCATCAAATGAAGTTATCTCCGAAGACGTTGTATAAAAGGAGTAAATAAAAACTTCACACTTTAACCTTCCAGCTCAGAGAATTCATGAGCTTTGAAAGCATACTGACTTCATATTATGGTGAGAGCTGTCTGCTAGCCAAAATTGGTAGACAGCAATTGACGTCATTAGTTACGTACCAAATCTTGGTCATGAGGAAAAAATCGAGAACAAGGACTAACTCAACAGGCAATCACAGCAGACTTAGCGTGGGTGGATACAATTAGCAGATATATGGTCTGACCTACAAAGAAACGGCCACAAAGAGATGACAGAATAACCTTCAGCAGGAAAACAACCAATCAGAAGACGTTACCTCTCTGCTAACAATAATGCTAGTAATAATGTACATAAAAATCTATAAGTATCTGTTGATTTTCTGAATAAACGATCTGTATCCTGGCACTTGTCTTCAGTCGTTACAATACTACACCGCACAAATCATAACTAGACGAGGTAACTATTCATTATAATCCGCTTCTCACGATTTTAGAGGACAAAAAAGAGAAATATTGCATAAAGAATATTTTTTCGACATCTTCCTTGTCTGGCGTTCGTTGCAGCAGACGTTCATTGCCTCTTTATACAACCACTCCAATTTTACGTTCGGGAATCCTAGCTAAACTAGATTTATTTCACTTTCTCTAAGTGTATCTACTAGTTTGAGTGCTCCTGTGTAGCCAGTTACATCTACCATACAATTAGACATGTCCGTCATTAGATTTCTGAACGTCATCCTGCTTGGCCAAGCAAGGGACAAACAAGGTCTATTTGTAGTTGATATTATCAAGATATTTAAAATTATCAACCATATTCTCATCAATCTTAACTTTGTCTTACAAATTCTTCTTATACATATGAATGAAAGCGTCCAAATTCATTTGAAGAATCCAAACTTGTGTTTATAAGAAATTTTTATCAGCGCTTTCCTTGCCGTAACCGTCATAACTTTATTGTAAAAATTTTAAAATTTTACCTACCGTCTTATTGTTTTACAAGCTGTCATTGTTTAAACTATCTTTAACTGCTGCATTCGTTTTGTGACGGTAGAAGACGAGAGACTTGAAAAAGTAATGTTTATTTACGATTTGGTATCTCCTCTATATAGCCAAATTATATACACCTCATCTTCAACGCACCCATTTGCACAGATCTTCTATATTGTGCTACTTCTGGCCTTCCTTCATCATATTGTATTCCTTTGTGTTCCTTTCACGTCTCCCCTATATCTCTCCAAAACACTGTATCATTTACTTTCTTTGACGTTAAATCTATCTCCATTCTATTTGTTGTTTTTATGCCGATGAATGTCTCTTTATAAACTACTGATAAATATTATCAGTAGAATGCACCACACTAGTTCCTCTATCAAACTGTTTCGAACTGAGCCATTCCGACCTTCTTGATTCTATCCCTTGCTGTTGTACTGTGGTCCCGGCCTCCTTATCCAATTGAATCCATTTCTTCAGTTAGCTGATGTTAATGCATTTCCGCTTATTTCTTCTTTTGATGGCATAAACGTCTCTCAGTGACAGTGTATGGCCCTTCCCACTTCAGGAGGAGTTTCCGTGAACCTGGCCCACATCTAACTGCGTACTTTCTTTCACTACACTTTACTTGATCATCGACCTCAAGGGTTATACATCCCACATTTTCTCCCTGCCCTTCAACTGATCACATACAAACGCTTTGGAACTGTAATTCTATTGTTCCAAACGACTCGATATTATTTGACCGAAAATGTCAGTGTTCTCAATAACGACTACTCTTTAAATACTACGTGTGAATAAAACTGTAGAGACTGATGAGACAATATTCTTTGCTCAACTTTACCACTTGTTTTCGTCTCTTTAATGTCTAAATTAGAATTTTAGCTACATGAAATTTGCGCTGATCAAGATATTCAATGTACAAATATTAATTACAATAATTATTTTTGTCAAAAATTTTTACCGTGAATTGTGAATTCATATTTTGATTCTCCATTTCTTTGACTTCTAATTGTTTCAAGGCAGACTGGTAATCTTTTGTAGTAGATTCCAGTTTCCTCTGAAGCTCTAGAATACACGATTGAACATTTGATAACGATGATGATGGCGGTGATTTTGATGGCAAATTATCGCAATTTAGTTGATCCACGTCGGTATTAAATAGTTTTTCAATGTGATCTGGATTATGGATAAAAGGAATCGAAAATGAAAGGGTTCACAATCCTTTAAATACTATTATGAGAAGAAAGATCTTTGGAAAAAGTTTGAACCAAAACATTTTCGGGATTTTGTTTTTCTGAACTGAACTGAATTGCAAGATAGGACTTTGAACAAAAGTGTGACAGTTCAAGCTGCCTTTATACTTCATAGAAAGCGCAAACATGAAGGTACGAAAAACAGACAACAGAAATGTTTGGGGGTGGTTGGTTCGATTGCGGGGGTCGAAGACAGTGGAAATTTAATGGATTTAGGATTTCACACCGTTTAAAATCATTTCGAGAAGTATAACCAACAGTCTCACTTTATCGTCTTTAGGGCAGTATATACCATTCCAAATTTGACTCAAAGCATTAGTCAAAGACTTGAACGATTGATGACGTGTTTCGGTCTGATCACCCTTAGCTCCTTTTCAACCCAATAAATTATTAGCTAAAATTTCTCGAAGAGGAAACAGTTTTACTTGCATCACTGATATAAGTACAAAACTTGTTCACTCTGGTTGAGTACAATTCCATTATGGGTAAGATTTTATTTTGATAAATCACACAGTGTTTTTATACAGTAATACTAACTGACGACAACGTTTCGAGCACAATTTATTAACGCTCTTAATCATATCAAGGCACTACTCACACAACTTTCTTGCTTTATTTATATACATGAGTACAAACTGACGGTTAGGCATTTGGATAAAATCAATATACGATAAAGTACATTCGGAAATAATAATATGAGTGCTATCAATAAAATAAAACAGGATAGGATATAAGGTGGTTTTATGGTAAAAATAAAACAAATTTGTATTCTAAATTTTCAATTTTCCATTTAGTTTGCTTTTACTTTAATAATTAATTCCCTATTATCATTCTCATATGTTCCTTTTGTACATTTTCACACACTCTTTACACTTGTTAAGTTGACACTCAACTACCACCTTTATTCTCACTCAATAACAATTTTAACCGAATCAAATCTCTATCTTTGTGCTGTTGAGTACCACGTAATTTACAACTTTTATTTTTTACTTCTAAAGCCACTTCTGAGTAATTATGTCAATTATGTCACCCCCACCCCTACTACTCAGTAACAGACTACTATGCATTTTTGGTAAGCACAAATACGACTCTACGGCAGCCTGTAAAGATGATTTCGTCGATAATGAGAATTTTCTCCGCTGATGAATTGTCTTTTATTTTCTTCATGACTCAATGGGTGTTTTCGGTGATTTGAAGGAGAGCAAGAAATCTGTGACAGTGAAAGAACTTGATACGTTTCTTAAGTTTTCTGTCAAGCTTGCCATAGCAAACACAAGAGTCAGTTTTCTAAATAGCTGTATAGCATAAATTTATTTCATGAGAAAACATACAGTGATACAGTCTACCGTTATTTACTGATCGCGATACGAGCGCAATTTATTATTGATGATCGTGTCAAGAAATTCCCACTACAACAGCAGAAGGCAAGAGACGGAAGCAAAGGTATATTTCCAAGTGATCAAACCGCTGTTTATATCTATATAGTTTTATATTCTTTAACCAATCACTGGGCGTGTGATTTGGGTTTACATTAAACGACATGAAATAGAATGTTCAAACATATACACGATATTCTGTTGCTAATGCACTATTGAATTGTGGGAATAGTATTCAGACGCTAACACCAACATATACAATGATTCTGACTGTGAGACTAATATTCCGTTGGAACCCATTGTCTGTATCACCACCACAACATAACATGTAAACTCCATTTGATAGAATTCTAGTATGTCCGGTACTATGATTTTATTGGTAGTAATATTCTTTTTCCACATCTCTAGCATCGGCGTTGCATTATTCCTATTGCATGTATTAGGTGTGGATTCGATGAACAACCTGAGATTTAATGATCAATCCTTCCCTCCATCTGCCTATGTTGCTTTTCAGAGTTGTAATTCTGACTCGCCAGATGGCTTGGTTGTGTATTAATAGTGTACGCACCTTCCTGGGTTCAATCGTTCTACACCTAGCTGAATCCCTATGTTCCGACAACTTGATTAACTCTAATCCACTGGCATAATCTGTGTAACTCACCTCACAGTCATTCTATAGGATTTTGAATAAAGCAAGAACAACAGTGGTTTGTGCAGAATAATATGGTACCATCATTTATTTCGTTGGATTCTCATCAGCTGCTTACAGTCTAAACAAATTATGAGGTTTGTGTACAGAAAAGTTTTAACATGCTTGTAAATTTTACATGATGTCAGTTGACAGAACGTTACGCAGTTAGTAACACATTGCTCAGAAAATTGCGCTTATATAGTTTTTACACAGGCAGTTCAAGTTTAAACAAAAAAATGCACGCTTACAATGGTAGAGGAGTTAAGTAATAAAGACGAGAGATGCGTAAGATTAGGCAAAAATGGACTGAGTTCGACTCAAACCCTATAAACAAGAGACAAGAGAAATTACACTATGTCAAAGGGGTGAGACTGAAGCCAAAGATTACGTAATCAACTGAAAGAAAGAATAAAGACATCCAGTTGTCAGGTGGGCAAGGAAAGACTAATAACTGCTTCTTTTTGAACACATAAATCTGGTTTCGAGCGTTTGATAGAAATCCCTACGGCAAACTTGAGGAGAATCAAGCTCCTTTGTCTATTGATAATTTTAAAGAATTTCGCGATTCCCACCTCATGACCCGTATCGAGGAAATGCCTGGTAATAGCGCTATTATAAGAGTTTGTTCCCTTGAAACGTAGGCTTTTCAGCACATGTTCAGCAAATCGAAGGTGTGCCCTTCTTTCTGTTCATCCAATGTAACTGCTCCCACAGATACACGTAAATTTGTATACACAGTTGGAGTTAACATGAGAAGGGTATCTGTCGACTTTTGACTGCACCAAAGAGCATGTTGTTCGATAGATGGGAACCAACTTAGCTGCAGGATAGGCTCTGGCTAGTGACATACTCAGTCTTCTGTTGACCATTGCTGCGATGTTTTCACCTTTAAAATCTAGTTGAATGAAGACAGGCTTTTTTCAGCTGTGATTTGTTTGATGTTTGAGCCTTCAAATCTTCCAAACTTGTTAATGAATCTTTGAGGATAACTGTTGTTTTTCAACACCTTTTCGAGAATCTTAAATTCTTCCTCTAGTTTCTCTGAAGAGCATATTCTCCTCACTCACTAATACAGAGTCTTGAGTAGTGCTCTTTTATAGCTATTTGGACAAAAACTATTAAGATGTGTGTATCGTCTATTCCGTGTCGGCTTTCAGTAAATTGATCTCTGGAGACCATCGTCTTCCAGGCGTTGCATGGCAGTGTCAAGGAAATGAAACTTTCCATCATTTTCATTTTCCGTAGTAAATTCAATATTTGAATGTGCGTCGTTGAATAATCTGAGCAGTAAGTTGGTAGGAAGCATGACTTTGATTGTTGCACACTGCAAGTGTGTCATCGACAAATCAACAATAGGAAGTTTTTTCGTCGATTGCATGCTTCAACTTTGTTCTCTCATGGCTTTACATGAATATATCTGCTAAAACAGGGCTAAGTAGACTGCCCATAGCTACATCATCTGTTTGTCGGTGAAGAGTGCTGTTAAACTAGAATTGTACACCCATGGTATACTTCAACAGTAGGTGTTTGAATTCCGACTCTGGAAGTGGGAGAAGATCAGACTGTTGACAAATGATCTCAATGGTTTCATTGATTGGGATCATTGTGAACAAGGAGGTTGCAACAAATGACGCCATGAACTTATTTGAAACGTTCATGTGATTCACACTTTCGGCGAAATTAAATGAGTCTTTCGTGGTGTACAAAGCTAGCCGTCGACGTATGGGGCGAGTTGATCACTGAAAGTAAAGGTCACAGAGGGACTGATTTCTTGTGTGTCTTTGGAAGGCCAAACATGTGTGGCAAATGGGACCCTCGGGGTTTCAGTTCATTTTATATATTGTTGTCAATCAATAGGATTTTGTAGATCACATTATATGTCTATTTGAATTAATAGGGTCATTTAGCCCACAAAGTTTGTCTCTGTGTGAATTTACCTATATATCTAAATGCCATCCTAATTCTTTGTTACAAAGAAGGATATTAGTTAAAGTGGAATTGAAAAATTCCGAAAATTTCGAAATTTTTTTAGCGGAACTCATTTAAAACTCCATGAGGAACTGAATTCATGAGTAGTTTACCAAGAACACGTTATTATTTAGTCAGCTGGTTTAAATCCAGTAGTCTATGATTGACAACGTTTAGCCACTTATGGCTTGATGATAACACATTTTCATTTTCATGAGGTGATCAAGTGAATTCTCAAACAAAGCGTTTGATCATGTTATCAGCGAAAAACTATGAGACATGTGGTGAGAGCTGTCTGCTAGCCAAAATTGGTAGACAGCAATCTACGTCAATGTGTACGCCGCATATCTTGTTCATAAGAAAAAAACAAGAACAAAGACTAACTCAACAACCAATCACAGAAGACTTTGCGTGGGTGGATACGATTCGCAGATATATGGTCTGACCTTCAAAGAAACGGCCACAAAGAGATGACAGAATAACCTTCTGCAGGAAAACAACCCAGAAGGTCCTCGGTTTGAACCCTGGTGGGCGCGTACTGCTGAAGAGTCCCAAACTGGAACGAAACGGCTGTCTAGTACTCCCAGCTGGTTTCCAATGGTTCTCTAACCAATGTCAGCTCATGATGAAATCTTGTAACCAATTAACCAAATCCCTACAAACCAATACTTGAACAATCAGAAGACGTTGCCTCTTTGTTAACAATAACGAATAATAGTGTACATAAAGTGCGTCGGTGGCGTAGCGGTTACGACACCCGCCAACCATGCACACTGTCCGGGGTTCGAATCCCGGCCGACGCACTCCTTTACTTCGCTAAGCCAGAAATAGTGTTGGTGAAGAGGAAAGGTTGGGCATGAGGCTAGCAACCCCATCCTGTAAAATAAACACTGCTACAGAAACTTCAAGTTATTAGCCTGAAGCTCTATGTTCCACTGGGGAGCGTAAAGGATAATAAATAAAAAGAAATAAGTGTACATAAAAATATATAAATATCTGTTGATTTTCTGAATAAACGAACTTTTGCCTGGCTCTTGTCTTCTGTCGTTACAGACATATGGCCTCTCCTAAGTAGAATGTCAGGAAAGAAACTTCCTGAATAAACTGAACGACGTCAGAAGGATGTCATAACAGAAGGGGAGTAAAGCGAGACGCTTATAGTGATTCGAGTCTAATTCAGTAAGCATTTTTCATAAATGCAATTCTATAATATACATAAACTTCTTGTCACAAAACTCTTTAATTTACAATCATTATCTTACCCAAATTATTTTCCAATGCTTGACATTGATTTTCTAATTCTTGTATTCGTGTATCTTTAACCTTTAACGCTTTGTTTAAATCTTCCAAGTTGGTTTTGAATTTTGAATTCTCTTTTTGCGCTTTTTTATAATTCTTATTTAATTCGCTTAATTCTTTAGATAATTTCTCATTGAGATTGTTATATTCATTCTTGAGAAGAGAAGAGAAACAAATTTTGTTTGAGTATAGTTAGAATTCAAATTACGTTCCCAAAAATTATGTTTCTGTGTTGCTACTGTGTAGAAATATGCGAATAATTTTCAAGAAATTGACAGACTGAATTAGGTGGAGATAGGAATAATTGTAAGGTGTTCTCGCGGAGAGTATGGCAAATAACGACGCAGATATTCAAACTTTGTGAAGAAACTGTAAAATTTCTTTTTAAAACAGCTAAAAGTAACATTTGAAATGATTGCATTATTCTCTCAAACAAGTTATAAAATTCATTATAATAAAGGCTTTTTGTATTTCCCAGTGCATGAATGAAAAGCAAAATGATATTACTGTTTTTACTGATGACTCGCTATTTAATGCTGCTGCTAATAGCTTTATCAAAGCAGTGATATTAAACCACAGTTTACAAAATCTCAGCTTATATATAACAACTTAATCATCCTTCCTCAGCATGGGGTCATTTTTGCGTTGTTGTCAACCTGGCCAATTGATAAAGATAACGAAACTAGGTGTAGATGATTGTTGGATTTGATAAGTGTGTAAAATTATAAAAGCAGCGCAAAGATATCACTTTTTTCAAGTCTTCTTAGAGGAGCACACTCGCTGATGTTAACCGACGAGAAAGAAAAAGAAGAAGAAATATCAAACATTACTGAGACTCAAAAGCAAAACAACTACCCAAAGGACTTCATCAACAAAATCAACACTGACATCAAGTATGGTAGAAAACGTATTCCAAAAACATGGAACTCGACAGTTGTCAGTCATTCCACATAGAGCAGAGACGTCAGACGATATCAGAAGAGTACTCAGTAAGTTAGACATCAGAGTTTTCTTCAAAACAACTTATACACTGCGAAGCAACCTTGTCCATATAAAAGACCAAATCCCTAAAATTCTCTATCAAATTGCGTCTAAAAAATAAAATGCTTCCTTGGAATGTGATGCGATATACATCGGAAAAACATCTCGAGAAATCAAAATCAGAAGAAATGAACACCTTAGAGCATCTGTTCGACCACCGAGAAATCCTGTTACGAAGTAGAAAAGCTTGAAAAATTATCAGCCATAGCTTGTCTACACGCTATAGAATCAGGTCACAAAATTGATTTTGACAATATTGAAATAATCCAGAAAAACTTCAGAAATCACAGAGAACGTCTCACATAATCAGAAGCACTTCATATCATCAAATGGAATCCCAATTGTCTGAATAGGAATGATGGACTAAAACAGAATTTTACCTGGTTGAAACACTAACCCCCTCCCCCATGAAATGACAAAATCAGCACGAATGTGATAAGCAATTTCATTATGTAAACACATGCCGCTTTTATAATTTTACACACTGATCAAATCCAACAATCATCTACACCTGGTTTCGTTATCTTTACCAATTGGCTAATTTGACAACAACGCGAAAATGACCCCATGCTGAGGGACAATGATTAAGTTGCTGGATATATAAGCTGAGTGGATTTTGTAAATTCTGGTTTAGTATCACTGCTCTGATAAAGCTGTTAGCAGCATTAAATATCGAAACGTCAGTAAAAACAGCAATATGGTTTTGTTTTTCATTCATTCATTGGGAAATACAAAAGACGTTAATTATGATGAATATCGTATACCCAATACCAAATGTTTTTCAAACTGTTAAAAGTGAACTTGGTTTGAACTTATATAAGTTATACAATGATCGTATAAAGCTCTCTAAGTTTCAGCTTAGAACGTTGCACAGAAACGCATCAGTTCAGTCTATCAGGCTCCAAGTAGTGCATAAAGGCAGAGAAAAAAAAATATTCAAAAGAATGGATGGGGGAAAGAAATAGTAACATGGAAAAACATAAGGGTCACATAGACTCGATGCATCTGCAACATTCATGTAGAGTCTCAAGCTTTTAGTTTTTAGTCTCTTGAGATCCCACTCAAGCGGTCTTCACCTTCCTAAGTAGCTAGCTCAAAACAACGGTTAAATACCTCATGAACTGATGGCATGTTTTTATTTGACCTCCTCAGACTCTTTTTCAACTTACTCCTATATCAGCTAATATTGCTTATCGAAAAAGGTGATGAATAATATCAACTACCTGAGGAAATTCGACTGCAGCTGCGGTGTCAGCTACATTGGGCGTACAGTTAGGCAGGTTCATCGTCGTATTTCCGAACATCATCCTGTGGCATGGTTAAGCAAGGGACAAACAAGATCTATTCGAAGTTCTATTTTAGCACACCTTGTTGATGCTGAGCATAAGGTTGATGTTAATAATGCATTTAAAATTATCTGTCGCATTCCTAATAACCTTAATTTTGCTCTACGAGTTTGTCTTCTACATACAACAACAGCTGAAGCAATTGGAATCCACCTGAAGAAGCCAAGCCTATCTGTTCAGAAGAAATTTGTACAGCCACTTTCCTTACCGTGGCCATCGTTACATGAATGTATAAACAGGACTACGTCATCCCCCTCCCCCTAAACCTTTAAAAACTATAAAAATTATAATTGTCCAAATTATTTTATTTTTATTTCGACCACTTCATCTTTAATTACGTGTTATCCTTGTAAAATTAATTTATTCTATCCATTTCTACCTTTTAATTGTGTGTGTATTGATTTTCTTCGTTAATTATCACCCCGCTGCTTGACATTTTGACACTGTTTAATTATTGTTAACAAACATATCAGTGCCACTTGCTTGGTAAACTGTTGTGTATTGTAATGAAAATTCCCTGCGTGTATATTAGAGTAGAACCAGAGTGAAATGAGGATCTAATTGAAAAGTAAATATTTCTTCGCTCAATCCTTCTGTTTTCTAAATGTCTAAATGGGAATTTTTTCTATATTGAAATTCGAATCGTCATTGCCCGCCTTTGTTCCATCCTACGAGGGAGACAGGAACCGATGGGGGTAAATATTTTTTAGGGGGAGGAGGTTTCTTTTATACTCACTCACTAAATGTACAATATAATACATATGTATTCTAGTTTACCTCACTCAAGCACATAAGTTCCCGAGGGATCATTACAGCATCTTTTTTTAAATTTTTGCTTGTCAAATGAAGCTTAGAGTTATTGAAACACATTCCTCCTGACTATGATAACTTCACTTCCAAAATACCGAAACTTTGAAATTAGAACAGACCAAATTTTAAAGTAAGAGAGATTCTATTTTTTATTTTTAGATGAGTACTTTTATTATAAGTGTCAGTAATCGTTCCTTGGTTTCTGAGTGTGAAATAAGACTTAAGCAGCCCATTTTCATTGTTCTCAATTCTTTGACATTATTTTCAACCGGATCTATGACTCCTCACGAGCTTTTATTCACTCCTTTTCTACTCAGGAGGTTGGTGTGTTATGTCACTTGAAAGTTTCATTCAAAGACTTTTAATCCATTACCATTTCATTCTGCATAATTACTGAGCAACAAGTGCTTTGAATGTACCGAGTCAATAAAATAGAATTCAGTATCTGTGCAGTGCGTAGTGACTACAGATGGGATGCAGGTCTTAGTGGTAGCAGGAGTCGAAACGACAACCTCCAGATTACTATCCCGACAGTTTACTAGCCAATATAAAAGCCATAAATCTGCTGCCACCCAGATTTTCAATTCAACCTCAATAACTACATTACACAAAAGATTTTATTTTGATAAATCACACAATGTTGTACAATAATATTAACTGATGACCACGTTTCGGGCAGAAATTATTGCCACTCATAATCGTATCAAGACACTACTCACACAACTTTTTTCCTTCATTTATATACATGTGTGGAATTGACTAGATATTTGAATAAAAATCAATATGGGATAATGTACATTCAGAAATAATAATACGAGTGTTATCAATCAAATACAATCAGATGGGAAATGCGACGAGTGTTTTTATAGTCAAAATAAATAAGTAACTTGTTAGAATGTTGTGATGTATGTGAATTGAAATAGAATTTTGAGATTATTTATTATCCTCCTCTGATTTGACTGACTGGTGGTAATAATGTCTTCCATGCATATCTCTGGTATTTGCATTGAGTCTTTTCTGTTGCATGTGTTGTGTTGGGTGTAGACTCGATGAACCAGGATTCAGTAATCAATATCTCTCTCTCTTTCGCCACCTACCTATTTTACTTCTTAGAATTTTAACCCTCTCCCACCCACTCTATTGTGTGGTTGTGTTTTGATGCGTGTAGTGCAATCGCTGAGTTTTTTTCTAAATTACTTAACTTCTCGGGTGAGGTCAATCATTCTAACCTTAGCTAAATTCTTATGTTCTGACAGGTAATCTCACCACTCCTGATCTACTAGTTTGACCAATGTAGTTGATTTAACTCACAGTCAGTGCAAGGTATATTGTAAATTATATTTTGTCTAATTGGGTCAACCAAGCGGGTCCTTTAGCCTACAGAGCCTGCTCTAACTGAGTGAGTTTGTAGATTGAAATACCACCCTAATTCCTGTTTTATTGAGAATCTTATGTAGGGCATTATTTGGTAAAACTTTAAATGCCTTATATTCTTTCTTATTTATGTTGTCATTATTAGTTTCAACATTATTTTTCTTTCGCTTCTGACCTTTTCTGATATTCTTAATGAATTTTATAGGATAGTTAGTTATTTAACACCAACGCCTCTTCTGTATGTTTCAATTCATCGTTTAGGCCTTTTTCGTGCTACTTAGTGCTATTGCTCGGTTTGTTAGACACTTGGCTAAGCTAGCCTTTACAGACAACGACAGATGCGATGAGTTCAAGTCTAAATATCTATTAGTTGTGTGAATGACTTGATATGATATGAGTGGCAATAGTTTGTGCTCCAAACTTGGTCATCAGTAAATATTACTGTACTGTACAACACTGTGTGATTTATCAAAATAAAATCTTATCCATAATACAGTTATACTCTACCATCACAGTCCCAAAGTTTTATACTTATATCAACCTAAATAACTATGCATTACATAAATATTAGTCTATTAACGC